ACCTGGAAGCCACAGCCTTTGCAGAAGCCACATTCACAGTATGTGTTGTGAACCTAAATTCAGTTCTACTTATGTAGAACTATGTATGTTTCAGAGATAACAGCCTGTAGCAGGTTTATAAAATCTGAAAAACTTGGGAATCTTTTGTACATTTTGAAATAATCTGAATTCTTGAGGTTTCTGGAATCCATTGTATAGTTTTTAGGTGCTGGCATATGTTGTCTCTTTCTAAATAATGTGTGATATGACAATTTGCTGGAAACAAGGTTTTATATCATTAAGTTCCTATTACTATTAATCTGCTGAGAGATCGCAAGATTTCCTCTAGTTAATGTTTTCTCCTGGAGAGCATCATGTGCATTTTATATGTTTATGACCATATTGAATGAGAAGAGGTCACCTTAGTTATTTTATTTTGATTTTATTCAGGATCAAACCCAAGTGCCTCACATGTGAAAGGCAAATACTCTGCCACTGAGTTAGCTTTTATAAAGAATTTCCTTTAGCTGGTTATGTGACTCACACCTGTAATCCAAACACTTGAAAAGTTGAAGTAGGACCTTATTTAGCATGGAATGAAACTTTACTCCAAAACTACAAAGCAATTTTCTCCTTATAGTACCAAGATTTCACCAGTGCATATGCTGTGCAAATTCTGGAGTGTGTTGTTGAGAAATGTGAAGTTTTCTGAGGCCAGTTGGCCACCCTGCCATGATAGTGGTAAGCTTTTCATTGGCAAGAGCTAAAAGATTTTAAAACTAATGTTACTGTCACCTTGTTTTGCCCCTTTTCTAAAAGTTGCTCTTTATCTATGTACTACACTTTTATTTAATCAATGTGTTTAATTACCTGTGGATGGGTGCTCACACCTGTCATCCTAGTACTTTAGAGAAAGACACAGAAATTCAAGACTCAACTGGGCCAAATAGTTTCAGGATAACCAAAGATACAAAGAGATCCTGTTACAAAATACTCACAAAAGTTGGAGATAGGTATATCTAAGTATATTTGTATATTTAAGTATACGAATTAGACCAGCTGTGGGTTAAAATTCAAATAAATGGTGAAAGAAGTATGGCTCAGCAGGAAAAGTATATACTATGCAAGCCAGATACCTAAGGTTGATCCCAGGATCCCTTTGTGGAAGGAGAAACCAACTTAAAATTGTCCTCTGAACTTCAAACTCTCATCACAGCACTCCTATTCCTGTCATGACACATATACCCCCCCCCCACAGATACACAATACTATTTTGTAATTGTCTAAACAGGAATTTTGGTCTTGGGCTAAATTTAAAAACTTGTGATTGGATTAAAATGTCAAATTGACTTACGTATATGTATAATTTAATGGATAATTATTGCAATGAAGAAGTATTTCTTCTTTCCATTTTTTATTTTAATTTTTATTTATTACACTTTATATTCCCCTGTGGCCCTCTTCCTCTTCCCCTCCCAATCCCACCATAAATCCCCCTTCTCTACACATGCCCCTCCCCATGTCCACTGATAGGGGAGGTCTTCTTCTCCTTCCTTCTGGTCCTAGTCTATCAGGTCTCATCAGGAGTGGCTGCACTGTCCTCTTCTGTGGCCCGGTAAGGATCCCCGTCAGGGGGAGGTGATCAAAGAGCAGGCCAATCAGTTCATGCCAGAAGCAGTTCCTGTTCCCATTATTATGGAACCCACTTGGACACTGAACTGCCATGGGCAACATCTGTGCAGGGGTTCTAGTTTATCTCCATCAATGGTCCTTGGTTGGAGTATCAATCTCAGAAAGACCCCTGTGCCCAGATTTTTGGTTCTGCTGCTCTCCTTGTGGAGCTCTTGTCCTCTCCAGGTCTTATTATTTCCTACTTTCATGAAATTCCCTGCGCTCTGCCCAAAGGTTGGCCATAAGTCTCAGCATCTGCTTGATACCCTGGAGGGTAGAGCCTTTCAGAGGCCCTCTGTGGCAGGCTCCTGTACTGTTCCATTTTCTCCTTCTTCTGATGTCCATCCTTTTGCCTTTTTGTATGGGGTTTGAGCATTTAGCCAGAGTCCTCCTTCTTGATTAGTTTCTTTAGGTGTATAGATTTTAGTAGGTGTATCCTATATTTTATGTCTAATATCCACTTATGAATGAGTATATACCTTGTGTGTCTTTTTGCTTCTGGGATAGCTCACTCAGGATGATCTTTTCCAGTTCCCACCATTTACCTGCAAATTTCATGATTTCCTTGTTTTTTTATCGCTGAGTAATATGAAGAAGTATTTTTATGTGTCATTATTTCTCCATTTTTTTCTAGAGCTCCTTTTAATCAACTGGCATCCTTATGTGTCACCTTAGACTTATTTGAGATAGGATATCATGAGGCCAAGGCTGGCCTTGAATATTAAGGGTATCAGGTTACCATGTGTAGCTGAGAAAGACTTTTCTCAAAAGGCTTAATTTTAGTGAGCTGCCTGTTCTGCAGACTGCAGTCTTTACCCTAATACACAAAATTTTATTTGTAGAGCCATACATAATTATACAGAGATGTGATGGATGTAACGTAACAAGGAAGGGCAGTTCATTCACTCCTATGGACTTGTGCTGGGACAGAAAATTCCTGTTTGCTTTAGATACAGCAATTAATAGGACATTTTAAAACTCCTTTCCTCCAAGAAAAAAAACATGTACATGTCTTGTTCTGGTAATTTCACTAAGTGCCAACATTCACAAACTGAAGGCACAATATACAAACCTTTCCAGGGACCTGGAATCATGGCTCAGGGGCTAAGTATGCATACAAAGCTCGTGGAGGACAGAGTTTGGTTCCTATACCCAGGCTGCCATCATCTCTTTTGACTATGAATGAAATCAATGCCTAGTCTAGATTTGCCACTTTCCATAACTCTGTTGTAACATGTATCCCAAATTCACTGCTCTTCTTTCTCGTGGGACCTTCTTGTCTGATCAGTTTTTGTTGCTGTTGTTTTTGTTTCTTGAGGCTGGGTCTCATATATCCCAAGCTTGACACAAGGATGACCTGTGGCACAGCCATTTCTAGGGTAACAGTAAAAATCATAAAGCCAACATAGCTACTTGACAAAGATCCACCAAAGCTGAGTTGAGTGACATGATCACTGTGATGCAGTCTTCCACTCTTTTGGCCGTGATATCTAAGTGTCACATGCTTGGGGGGAGATTATTATTTGTACAACTTGGGGATTGATGGACATTTTATAATTGTTTACGCTTTCTCCCAGCTGAAATCCCCAGTGGTGGGGACCATGGAGACTGAAGAGACCACCCTCTACCTAACCAAACAGTACTCCTTTTGGAGAGAGGGGAACACCAACTCACCTACAAAAACTTCCACTCAGAATTTACCCTGCCTTCAGGATATGCAGGGATTAAGACAGAGCAGAGATCAAGTGAAAGTGCAACCAATGCCTGGTCCTACCTCAGACCCACTCCATGGGAGAAAGCCAACCATTGACACTAATGATGATGCTCTGCTATGTTTGCAGATGAAAGCGTAGCCCAGCTGTCCTCTGAGAGGCTCTGCATGCACTGGATTGAAACAGAAACTGAGACTCACAGCCAAAGAATGGGTAGAGTATAGGAATCCTCATAGAAGAGTGGATGAAAGGACAGAACAACCTGGAAGGGATGGGAACTCTACAAGAAAATTAACAGTCCCAACTAACCTGGGCACAGCAGGGTTTGCAGAGACTGAAGCACCAAGCAAGGACCATATATGGAATAGACCACAACACTCTACACATATATAGCCAATGGGCAGCTTTGCTGTCATGTGGGTCCCCCAGAAAAAAGATCAGGAGCTGTCTTTGATGCAGTAGTTTTATATAAGGCAAAGCCTTCTCTGGTTTCAGCTCTATTATTCTCATTCACCTTCTCTGAGGGTGCTCACACTCTTTTATGTTCTAGCTGAAAACTGGTCCCTGTTCAAGAGCCATTTATCACTATTATAGGGATGATGGGACCTCAGAGAAGAGAGCTGACAAATTAAGAAGACTAAAGGCTCATGTAGTACCCAAGTTTGTTCAGCAGCCCAGACAAACTTTGATGTTTAAGAAAATTTATCTGAGTATAGTTTTGATGTGTTCAAGCTGGATAAAATTACAAAAACAAAAATCACATGGGACAAAGGCATATTTTTCCACAGAAGAATATGAAGGATAGTTTAAAAATGTAACTGATTAATAGCAAACAAAAATGAGTAAAAGTAAGTAAATTCAGTTCTAATGGTATATTGGGAGGAACACAAAATCACATTCTAAGAATAACATTGTGCTTTAATGAAATCTAGCTCCTAGCAGTCTTGTTTTCCTGAGTGTTCATGCAAACACTCAGAACTCATCTCACATGATTCCATTCCAGGAATGTTCCAACAATATACATTAATTAAATTTATTTTATTTTAATTAAAAACAAAGATATACATGAAGAAAGCCCTTTTTAAAATACAGAGTAGCAGACACATACACATTATATATACAATATTTTCACATCATAAAACTACTTGGTGCCAAGGAAAGCCCAAAAGTTCATGAGATGTCATGGACCAGGATTTACTGGTAGTTCTGTGCCAACTGATATAGGTGGGTATCCAAGAGCAGCAGTACCACTGGGTCAACACAATTCCCAAAGATGTCATTATAATGTAGAAAATGAAGATGCTTCTACTCATTCTGCCTTCTATAACTTCTAGGTGCCCTTGCTATTGGGCATTGAAAGACTGAATACATTTCAATCCATTCATGAATGGACACTGCACATTGGCTCTTATTATACTTGTTAACACAGTTCTCTAGATGTGAACAAAGACAATGAAAGATTTGGATGTATAAAGATGAGTCCAGATTGTGTTAAGGAAAGTTCCCTAATGTGATATATGCTGTAAAACATGATTATTTTTATTTAAATGCATAGCAGTTTTGCCTGCAAGTGTGTCTGTGGGAGGGTGTTGAAAACCCTGAACCTGGACTTAACAGACAGTTGTGAGCTTCCATGTGTGTGCTGAGAACTGAACCCTACTACTCTGAAAAAAAAAATCTTCCCAACCCTCCCTTTTCAGGTACTTTTGGAGACAGGGTTTCTATACATAATTATGGTCCCTCTATGTGCCCCAAGATGGCCTCAAACTCAAGAAAGATCTACCTAACTCTAGTTGTAGGATTACAAGCATGAAACACTAAGACCAGATGAGACATGTTTTCTAAATGACCCATCTATGAATCAGACAGTGAAAGGATAATGTAAGATTTAAGCAGTAATATTTCTTGAAAATTTTCAATGTATTATTTTTAAGTGGTGAATCATTTCCTATATTTCTGTATTCTCGAATACAACAGGTTTACAATTTGAAAAGGAGCCAGTATTTTAATGGTGGAGTGTTTCTACTAATCTTTCTTCTATGTCACTGAAGCCCCAGTGACATAGCTTAGTGGGAAAAACGTATGTGGAGTGCAAAGCTCTATTTCATTTATTAGGTTCAGGTTTTTGTTTTTGTTTTTTTTTAACCACTGTGAATTCTTTCATGTTTTTAAAGGTTGCTACAAGATGCAGCTAGGGCATCGATTATGTTCATATGGTTTTAGTCCACCTGATTTCTTTCATGACTCAAAAGACAACACTTCTGTGAAAAGGTTTATCCACATTGATTACATTGTTAGGGTTTCTCTCCAGTATGAAATCTTTCATGTTTCTGAAGACTACTGTTTTGTGCAAAAGCTTTACATTAATAGGGTTTCTCTTCACTATGACTTCTTTCATGTTTCCGAAGATCACTGTTACATGCAAAGGGTTTACCACATTCATTACATTCAAAGGGTTTCTCTCCAGTATGAATTCTTTCATGAATTTGACAATCGCTTTTACGTGTAAAGGCTTTACCACATTGATTACATTCATAGGGTTTCTCTCCAGTATGAATTATTTTATGTCGGTGAAAAGAACTATCATCTGCAAAAGCTTTACCACATTGATTACATTCAAAGGGTTTCTCTCCAGTGTGAATTCTTTCATGCCGGTGAAGAGCACTCTTTTCTGCAAAGGACTTATGACATTGCTTACAGACATAGGGTTTCTCTCCAGTATGTCGTCTTTCATGCCTGTGAAGAACACCTTTATATGCAAAGGCTTTACCACACTGATTACATTCGTAGGGTTTCTCTCCAGTATGACGCCTTTCATGCCTATAAAGCAAACTTTTATATGCAAAGACCATACCACATTGATTACATTCATAGGATTTCTCTCCAGTATGGAATTTTTCATGAATTTGAAGATGACTATTACACATAAAGGCTTTACCACATTCATTACATTCACAGAGTTTCTCTCCACAATGACTCCTTTCATGGTTTTGAAGATAACTGGGACATGTAAAGGTTTTACCACATTGATGATATCCATGCTTTTTTTCTCTGGTATGAGATCTATGTACTTGATGAAGACTTTGACATGCTTTATCACTTTGAATATATTCATAGGGTTTCATTTCCAAATGAGTTCTTGGGAGTAATTGTAAAGAGGAATCAGATTTAAAGGCTTTATCATGTGGATTACATTCATAGAAATCCTCTTCATTATTGGTTGTTTTGTGTACTTGAAGATACCTGTGATGGTTAAAGACTTTAGTACATGGCCCATATATATTACTTTCTTTTTCCATATGAGCTTTCTCACCTCTTTCAAGAGATGTAAAAGATCTCACAGGTTTACCACACCGATTATTTGCATAACCTTTTTCTATAGTATATTTCACATTACACATGCAAAGTAAACTATTACAGGCAGATGAATTTTCATATTTGCTGTATTCATCAGTTTTTCTACACTGTGAGTTCGCTGATGTATTCCTACTAAAGTTGGAAAAAATTGAAAACTTGTATAACAGTCATCATGTCCTATCACAGAAGGGACTACTACATATCTTCTAAGTGTTCTGGGAGAGGCAGAAGTACATTGCCTCTTTCCAAGTCCCTTCTGCTCACATGACTTGTATCTAGAGTGACAAATCATATTCCTAGTAAGCAAAGAATCACAAAACGTTTTCACACTGCATTCACATAGGCTAACCATTTGTGTCTCTTGGATATGTGGTATAGGGATTCAGGTTTCTCGACCACAACAGCCTTCACTTCTTTCATAAACTGTTCTACCCACTACTGTATGGTAAGTTACTACAAGTATATGAGGGACAATAGCTTTAATATGGATGATATCCTTATAAAAGGTCTTGTAATACACAATCTCATTGTCAATTTGTATGAATTTTATAATTAGGTGGTTGAAAACTAAGGGGATGGTAAGTTCTATAACATGGCTCTTATGTGGCTATGATTAAAATTGTGACATCTGTTAAGACCTCATTTTCTTGTCTTATTTCATTGTTTCTTTTTTGGAGCTGGAGTTGAGCTTTGGTTTTGTTTTACAAGACATTGTTTGCCTGAATAGCCTTGGCTGTCCAGGAACTCACTCTGTAGTCTAGGCTAGCCTCAGACCCTTGGGGATCTGCCTGCTTCTGCCTCCTGAGAGCTAGGATAATAAGCATGTCCCACCAATGCTGTGAATTTTGTTTTGTGTCTTAAAGAAATGATCTTCAAAAAATGATAAGCTACTTGGCAGTGAGATACATGCTACTATGAGAATTTAATAATCACCGCAAAGCTGTTCTTATTTACACTGTGGTTTTGAATTAAAACTTCAGGGTAAATTACAATTTCTTCAGAGGCAGATACATGAAAACCTGCACATCAAAATTACCTTGTTTGTCTTCTAGAACTTTGACAATGTTCAGTGTTGTGGTCTTCCCATTTATAGCCTAAAATACAGTACCAGAAAATGTAATA